AACTTATGTTTTATTTTACAGTTTTAAATTTGCATTTTGTATCTTTATTTTTTGGTACTTCTTAACCTTATGCAGATGATCTGTCTATCACATATCTATCTATACATATAAAAGTATTTCATGATCTGCAGTTTATTTGTTCCATCTGTATTTGACATTCACTCAAAAATATATAACAACACGGACAGATGAAGAAAAGAAAGAAAAAGATTTTCAGATGTGAAGAAAACCAACACAGAGTGAATAAAATTCGTTAACTCAACAGGAGACTTATGAAGAACCTTAAGACAAAGTTGGAGGAATCCATAACTTTGTTGCCTGTCATCAAAGTACTTCCATTCCAAGATAGCAGCATATTGCAAATCCAATCCATATTTCCTGAAGTTTTTCTCTAAGAAAAAGGTTCCTTGATTTCTGGGACAGATTTCCTGCAGGTCCCATTTTCTCATCACAATACTCATACTAACATTTATTTCTCAGCACAGACTCTTTTCAATTGATGTGCCTACATGATAAATTATGTCTCTCATCCTATATTTTTTTTTTCTGATGGAAACTCTAGATAGTTCTCAGGAAGTTAAATCAAAGGTTATAAAATTTACTATTGTATTTATTTTTTGTCTTACAAAAGCAATTTTCATGGCAACATGAGCATTTATCTTGTGCCTAGTTATTACATGGAGGACACAGTGCTTAAAATGAACCTGCAGGCAGGTATGGCAGATTTAATTTAGTTGACTTGCACCCCTATGTTTTATTCTGTCAATAAAGTGGGTACTTCATAGAAATATAAAGACAGAAGGAGTACAGAAAATTACATAAATAGCAGCAGCCACAATTTCTAATAATCGTTTCATCCCTTTTGATGAAATCAATTGCTTATTCTGCCACATAAGTAAAGCACAAAGAACACTTGAAGCACAATTGCAATTGCTTTATAGAATGTATCACATCTTTTATATTTCAGAAGAAAAGGAAAGTCAACAGGTGAGGCAAGCTATTTTTTTAATGCTTCCAAATGCAAATACAGAAAGCAACAGGATTTGGTTTTTAAAATATTTTTTCCAGCAAAATCCATTTTTATTAATAACTTTTTAAAAACATGTACATACACCTGAGAAATAGAGTGATTAGGCAATATTATTAAGCTCTCTGTGAACTGGTATTTAAATACTCTTCTATCAAAAAGGAAAATATTTATTCTTGAATTTACAACATTTCCAAGAAGATATATCCTTTATTTCTTAAAATATCCCTTATGGACAACTATAGAAGGTGCACTGACTTATAATTACAACCTCAAAAGGGCTATATTGCAGCTACCCTTTCACTGGGCAAGACAGAAAAGCCATGTTTCCTATTTAAAGAAGAAAAGAAAAATTGAGTAGCTTTAAAATGTACCTGCAGAATTTTGACCAAAATTCTTTTGTCAACTTTGCTATTTATCTTTCACCATGATGAGAAGTTAAAGGCTTTAGCTAATGAAATATTATTGTTATATTTAAATAATAATAATAATAATAATAATAATAATAATAATAATAATAATAATAATAA